GTGGCTCACGCCTGTAATCCCAGCACTTTGGGAGGCCGAGGCGGGTGGATCACGAGGTCAGGAGATCGAGACCATCCTGGCTAACACGGTGAAACGCCATCTCTACTAAAAATGCAAAAAATTAGCCGGGCGTGGCGGCGGGCGCCTGTAGTCCCAACTACTTGGGAGGCTGAGGCAGGAGAATGGCATGAACCCTGGAGGCGGAGCTTGCAGTGAGCCGAGATCGCGCCACTGCACTCCAGCCTGGGCGATGGAGCGAGACTCCGTCTCAAAAAAAAAAAAAGAAATCCCTAAGAAACTAAGACTGTCCCAACCCCAAATCGCAGATTCCCTGTTATAAACATATCTGGGGAAAAAAAAACTAAGCTGAACTCCATCATTATTTTTATATTAATGTAAGTTTCTGATGGGAAAAAATTTATTTATTTTTATTTTTTTGAGACAGAGTCTTGCTCTGTTGCCCAGGTTGGAGTGCAGTGGCACGATCTCAGCTTACTGCAACCTCGACCTCCTGGGTTCCAGTGATCCTCCTGGGTTCTAATGATCCTCCCACCTCAGCCTCCCAAGTAGCTAGGATCACAGGTACACACCACCATGACCAGCTAATTAAAAAAAAACCTTTTTTTTTTTTTGGTAGAGATGGGGCTTTGCCATGTTGCCCAGGCTGTCTTGAACTCCTGGGATTAATCACTCCTCCTGTCTTGGGCTCCCAAAGTGCTGGGATTACAGGCATGAGCTACTGTGCCTGGCTTAGATGAAATCAAATTTAAATGTGAACCACAAGAAGCCATGAAATTAGCCAGATAATGTAAATCTGATCACATAAAAAGAAAGCCATATAATAAATTTAAAAAAAAAATCATCATCCCTATTTTAGAAGTGAGGAACCTGAGACACAAAGAAGTTAACTAAATAGATAGCAAATGGTAAAGCCAACATTTGAACTGAGTCTGTTGGGCCAAAGACTGGGAAGAGTGGCACATAGAAGAGTGGCAAAGATTAAACAGATGAAAATACCCAATATTGGCCAGGCATAGTGGCTCACGTCTATAATCCCAGCACTTTGGGAGGCTGAGGCAGGCAGATTACCTGAGGTCAGGAGTTCGAGACCAGCCTGGCCAACACAGTGAAACCCGTCTCTACTAAAAATAAAAAAAATAGCTGGGCATGGTGTTGGGCACCTGTAATCCCAGTTACTTGGGAGGCTGAGGCAGGAGAATCAGTTGAACCCAGGAGATGGAGGTTGCAATGAGCCAAGATCATGCCATTGCACTCTAGCCTGAGTGTCAAGAGCGAAACTCCATCTCAAAAAAAAAAAAAAGAAAAGAAAAAAGAAAATACCCAATATTGAGGAAACAAGTATTCTCATGCTAAGTTTGTAGGTATATACATTAGTATAACTATTTGAGGGCAAATTTGCAATACCTATTAAAAATACACAAATCCCTTGATATATAATACAGCTTCTAGACAATGTATCCTAAAGAAATACACTCTTACGGAGACATATTCATAAGGATATTTACTATAGACTTGTTAATTGGGTAGAACCTGGAAATAATCCAAATACCTAATAAGATACTGGGTTTAAAAAATTATGTATTTAAACAATAGAATAGTATGTAACTTTACATTTGATCTTAGCCAAAAGGCTGAGAAGCGATTATAGTATGTAACTTTATTCATTTTTTATTTTGTTTTGAGAGGAAGTCTCAAGTCTCGTTTTGTTGCCCAGGCTGGAGTGCAGTGGCGTGATCTCTGCCTCCCAGGTTCAAGCGATTCTCCTGCCTCAGCCTCCCGAGTAGCTGGGATTACAGGCGCCCTCCACCACGCCCAATTAATTTTTGTAGTTTTAGTAGAGACGGGGTTTCACCATGTTGGTCAGGCTGGTTTTGAACTCCTGACCTGAAGCAATCCACCTGCCTTGAACTCCCAAAATGCTGGGATTATAGGCGTGAGCCATCGCGCCCGGCCATATGTGACTCTAAAAAAGAATTCCTGGCCAACATGGCAAAACCCTATCTCTACTAAAAATATAAAAATTAGGGCTGGGCACAGTGGCTCACGCCTGTAATCCCAGCACTTTGGAAGGCTGAGGCGAGCGGGTCACCTGAGGTCAGGAGTTCGAGACCAGTCTGGTCAACATGGTGAAACCCCATCTCTACTAAAAATACAAAATGGCGGTGCATGCCTGTAATCCCAGCTACTTGGGAAGCTGAGGCAGGAGAATCACTTGAAGCCTGGAGGCAGAGGTTGCAGTGAGCCGAGATTGCGCCACTGCACTCCAGCCCGGGTGACAGAGTGAGGCTCTGCCACAAAAAAAAAATAAATAAATAAATTAGGTGGGTGTGGTGGTACACACCTGCAATCCCGGCTAGTGGGAGGCTGAGGCATGAGAATTGCTTGAATCCGGGAAGCAGAGGCTGTAGTGAGCTGAGATCACACCACTGTACTACAGCCTGGGTGACAGAGTTAAGACCCTGTCTTTAAAAAAAAAACAAAACTTGAGCAACATGATTGATACCTTGTTTCTACAAAACATAAATAAATAAAATAGCCAGGCATAAAATAGGCATAGTGGCTCTTTCCAGTAGTCTCAGCTACTTGGGAGACTGTGGCTGGAGGATCACTTGAGACCTGGAGGTTGAGGCTGCCGTGAGCTATTGGCTCAGACCAGTGTATTCCAGCCTGGTTGACAGAGCAAGACCCCGACTCAAAATAAAAGAATGAGGTCCATTTATGTATACATGCCATGGAAAAATATTCAAAATATATAGTTCAATGTAAGCAGCAAGTAGAAATGATTAAAATGTGATCTATCCATATAGTGGAATGTTATTCAGTAATAAAAAGAAATGAAGCACTGATACAAGCTGTAATATAAATGATCCTTGAAAATAGTATGCTAAATGAAAGAGGACCAAATATTGTAAGATTCTATTTTTATTAAATGTCCAGAATAGGGAAATTTATAGCAACAGAAAGTAGATTAGTGGTTGCCTAGAAATAGAGAGAATGGTGAGGGTTGCAGGGTGATGGCTAAGGGTCTCCAGGTCTCTTCCCGGGATAATGGAAGTTCTAAAATTGACTATGGTGATGGATGATGCACAACTAGAAATCACTGAACTGTACACTTTAAAGGGATGAACTGTATAGTTGTAAAGGGAGTCAATTATATTTCAGTAAATCTGTTTTATAAAGAAAAAAATAATATATGATTCATTTTCTTTTTTGAGATGGAGTTTCGCTCTTGCTGCCTGGGCTACAGTGCTGGTACGATCTTGGCTCACTGAAATTTCTGCCTCTGGGGTTCAAGTAATTTTCCTGCATCAGCCTCCTGAATAGCTGGAATTATAGGGGCCTGCCACCATGCCTGGCTAATTTTTTTTGGAGTAGAGAGAGAGTTTTGCCATGTTGGCCACGCTGGTCTTGAACTCCAGACCTCAGGTAGTCCGCGTGCCTCGGCCTCCCAAAGTGCTGGGATTACAGGCCATTTTCATCAATAAATAAAATTAACCCTCCCTCTCTCACAGTTATTTATGACTTTTTGTAATTGCCCCTTTGAGGAAATGCATTATAAGCAACTTTCTTCCTCCACTCCATTTTGAGACAGGTTCTTTTTCTGTCATCTAGGCTGGAGGGCAGTGACATGGACATGGCTCAGTGCAGCCTCGACCTCCCAGGCTCAAGTGATCCTCCCACCTCAGCCTCCCAAGCAGCTGGGACCATAGACATGCTTCACCACGCTCAGCTAATTTTTGTGGTTTCTTTTGGTAGAGACAGGGTTTTGCCATGTTGCCCAGGCTGGTCTCAAACTCCTGGGCTCAAGTGATCCACCCACCTTGGCCTCCCAAAGTGTTGGGATTACAGGCATGAGCCACTATGCCTGGCCTGATTTTAAAAAAAAGTTTTTTTGTACAGATGCGGTCACACCATGTTGCCTGGGCTGGTCTTGAACTCCTGAGTTCAAGCCCAGAATCCCTCCCACCTCGGCCTCCCAACCTGCAGGGAGTACAGGTATGAAGGATCTTGCCCATCCCAACTTTCTTTTCTTCTTCTTCTTCTTTTTTTTTTTTTTTTAAAGACAGGGTCTCACTCTGTTGACTGGGCTGGAGTGTAGTGGCATAATCACAATTCACTGTAGCCTCGGCCTCCCAGGCTCAAGTGATCCTCCCACCTCAACATCTGTAGCTAGGACCACAGGTGCACGCCACCATGCCTGGCTTTCTTTTTTTTTTTTTTTTTGAGACAGAGTCTCGCTCTGTCACCCAGGCTGGAGTGCAGTGGCACGATCTCAGCTCACTGAGGCCTCTGCCTCCCAGGTTCCAGCAATTCTCCTACCTCAGCCTCCCAGGTAGCTGGAATTATAGGCACATGCCACTGTGCCTGGCTGATTTTTGTATTTTTAGTAGAGGTGGCGTTTCACCATGTTGGCCAGACTGGTCTCGAACTCCTGATCTCAGGTGATCTGCCTGCCTCGGCTTCCCAAAGTGCTAGGATTACAGGTGTGAGCCACCACACTCGGCCTCCTGGCTAATTTTTAAATTTTGTGTAGACATGGGGTCTCGCTATGTTGCCCAGGCTTCAACTTTAATTTTTTATGCTAGAATTTTTTAGAAGTACATTAATATTGGCCAGGTGTGGTGGCTCATGCCTATAATCCCCGCACTTTGGGAGGCCGAGGTGGGCAGAATGCTTGAGCTCAGGAGTTCGATACCAGCCTGGCCAACATAGAGAAACTCCATCTCTACTTTACACAAAAATTAGCTGGGTATGGCAGCACACACCTATAATCCCAGCTACTCGGGAGGCTGAGGCAGGAGAATCACTTGAACCTGGGAGGCAGAGGTTGCAGTGAGCAGAGATCACGCCACTGTACTCCAGCCTAGGCCACAGAGTGAAACTTCGTCTCAAAATATATGTATATATTTTAATACTGAGATCATGAAAAAAGGCAATGTGTTCTTTAAGAGGACCAATTTCAGAGCCATGTAGCAGTGAAGTAAGCAAAGGCTTGCAACTGAAGTCGGGAAGCAGGCTCAGGAAAACCACTATAAGGAAACGGAAAGTAACAGCCTCAGGATTCACAGGCAGAAGAGAAAGCTGATGGGAAGCAAATTATCCTTCCTTGTTGGGACTATAAAGTGGAAATGGAAGAGACCAGGAACTATGAAAAGATCAAAGAGGCCTTTTCAAGGTAAGAGGAAGATAAAGGCCTTCCTTTAAGTATAAGGGCAAGCAAGGCCAGGCACGGTGGCTCACGCCTGCAATCCCAACACTTTGGGAGGCCAAGGTGGGTGGACCACCTGAGGTCAGGAGTTCAAGACCAGCCTGACCAATATGGTGAAACCCATCTCTACTAAAAATACAAAAATTAGATAGGCATGGTGGCATGTCCTAGCTACTCGAGTGGCTGAGGCAGGAGAACTGCTTGAACCTGGGAGGCAGACGTCGCAGTGAGCTGAGATCACGCCACTGCACTCCAGCCTGGGTGACAGAGCGAGACTGTCTCAAAAAAAAAAAAGAGTATACATATTTAAAGAAAGCCTAACCATAAGACTAAAGCGATCCTGACGAAAGCTCTAACAGTCACCATCTAGATATTACTGGTGGAGGTATAGAGTCAAGGAAGCAATTCACCAAGGAAGCAAAGGGCCATGCTTTGACCCTCTATCCGTTTCATTGATAAGTAGGTCACAGCACTCCTGGAAAAGCAGCTCAATTAGAAATACCATGGGAAATACAAAGAGACTACCAAGTTTAGTGTCTTCCCCCATACAGGGTTACCCAAGCCTCATTCTTACAGGCCTGGTAGCACCTCAACTTTAGATTATTTCTAAAAGATTTATTTAAAAAGTATATGTATATAGCTTTAAAAAATAATACAGAAAGGCCTATATGAAAAAACAACGGTTCCCTGACCATTCCTACCCAATCAATTCTGATCTGTAGAGAAGACTATTTTATTACATTAGCTCCATTTTTTTTCTCATCTGGTGGCTACCTTCACATCTTAATATATACAGCTAATAAATGTATGCAGCCATTCTTTTTTTTTTTAGACGGAGTCTCTCTCCGTCGCCAGGCTGGAGTGCAGTGGCGCGATCTCGGCTTACTGCAACCTCCACCTCCCAGGTTCTAGCAATTCTTCTGCCTCAGCCTCCCAAGTAGCTGGGACTACAGGCACGCACAACCACAACCAGTTAATATTTGTATTTTTAGGAGAGATGGGGTTTCACCTTGTTGGCCAGGATGGTCTCGATCTCGACTTCATGATCCACCTGCTTTGGCCTCCCAAAGTGCTGGCATTACAGGTGTGAGCTACTGCGAGTGCTGGGATTACAGGTGTGAGCCACTGCGCCTGGCGGGAGCCATTCTTAACTAATTTTAGGCATCTAAAGAATCTGCTTTCATACCTCCTTCACACATTCCTTACCCCCATCTTCTCACCTTGCTCATTATAATAAATCAGTAAACAACATTTACATTTCTATCACTCTGTAACTGTTGTTCATTATATAGTAGCCTTTAAAACTTAAAAAGGGAGGTACAAATTTTTCCCTTTGATTTCAATAATTTTTCCTCTACGGCAAAGTTTAAGTCTAATTTTCATTCGTACCTCTAACCGGGTGACTAAAAAATATATAAATATAAACCTGCTACAAATGGGACAGATCTTACTATGATAGGCCTCATACATGGCCTTAGTTTTCTTTTTCCTCTTCATGGTAGTGAAGGAAGATCATTTAAAGGAGGGGATATATAAATACACAAGGGAAATCTATAAATGGTAAATTACATACCTAGGTATAAAAAACTACCTCAGATCCTCTGTACTACGAATAAATACCAAACTGAATAAACTTAGGAATTGACCATCTATCTAACTTCTAGGGCTGTGATCATAAATGGCAGAATAGCGTATTTAGTGTTTCAACACTGGGGCAGAAGGGAGAACACATCCTTGTTAACATAAAAGAATACAGATACTGAAAAACAGATCTTTCATTTATCCAGAATTTTAAAATCTAGAATTCGAAAACAGAAAATTCCCCTATGTTCAAAATTGATGTCCATAATGATACTCGAAGCATTCTAAGTGTTTTCTGAATTGTGAAAGTTTAATTTTTTCCAGTCGAGTTTGCATTATACTTCAATTCATTAAACATGGTCATTGCTATGGTGACCACTATAAATTAAATGGCCAGCAATTCAGTTAATAAGAACCCCATCTCCCTCTTTTCTTTCTTTTTTTTTTTGAGACAGAGTCTCGCTTTGTCATCTAGGCTGGAATGCAGTGGCACAATCTCAGCTCACTGCAAGCTCTGCTTCCCGGGTTCATGCCATTCTCCTGCTTCTGCCTCCTGAGTAGCTGGGACTACAGGCGCCTGCCACCGCGCCCGGCTAATTTTTTTGTAGTTTTAGTAGAGACGGGGTTTCACTGTGTTAGCCAGGATGGTCTCAATCTCCTGACCTTGTGATCTGCCCGCCTCGGCCTCCCAAAGTGCTGGGATTACAGGCGTGAGCCACCGCACCCAGCCTCTCCCTCTTTTCATGTATTTGTATAAATATAATTATTCTGTACAAATGTCACGGAAACATAAAAATATGATACTCACACTTGGCATACAGACAGTCCATCATTGACTGCACTAAGTCCAGTTTGGCTTTTATGGAAAAGTTGATAAAGTTGGTATCAACGAGGATGTGGTAAGGTGGGCCCAGCTGTGTATTATATTGGAAAAATAAGCAGGAAGGGTGTTGGGGACTGAAGGAAAAAGAAAACAAGAACAAAGTAAAACTTACATTGATACCCTAGTATTAACAAAAAACAAAATAGAACTCTCTGCTTGGGACTGTTTGCTGTAAACTCTTTTGTACATGTTCATTGGAAATAAATCCTAAAAAGGAAGGCAACGAAGAAAGTAACATCATTATCTTAATCTCAGCTCCCCTGGCAACTTTTAAAAAGCAATTATCAAAAACAAACAAACAAAAAAAGCAATTATCCATTCCAGCTCTTCCTCTAGCAAGAGTAGAGTCGCCATGGGCACAGGGAGGTAGAATACAGGTATGATTAGAATGATACTCCAACACATTTGTCATTCTTATAGGATTCTAAAACTGTTGTTATGGAATGTGATAGAGAACAGTTTGTCTAGTGTTAGGATTATACACTACAGCAGGACCTGTATCACACCTAGCCCAAGTTGTCTGGGTTGAATATGACAGTGATTCCAAATGCTAGGCCACAGACCAGTATCTACCTGTGATGATATATCCATTACCAATCCAGGGCAAAATTAGAAAAATAAGGAAAATGTGGTAAAGTTTTCATAAAGTTAAATGTATTTACTCAAAAGGAATGAAATACCTTTATATCTTTATATAAAGGTTTTATATCTCTATATACATATCTTTATTCTGAAAATGTATTTTAAATATTTTTTGGTGATACAGTCTCTCTTTTATGAAATGCTAGTGTGTTAAACAACAGCAATTACGTCTCTTAAAAGATCCCTGGCAAAGAAAAAGTTGATAATCCTAGATAATATCTCCTGGATTTTAGGGGAAATTTTATTGCTCCATAAAATCCAAAAACCTTCAAACCACTGGAATTGATACATGCTCATCAATATCACTTTCATCTACATAGTTGTGGTAGACTTACTAACAAATAAGTTAGCAAACCAGCTCAGGGAAAGCCTGGATTTCTAAGCGGTCTATGGTTTTAAAGGAGAACTTCAAATGTTTGATTACTCACACTTCTCTTTCCTTTAACGCACTGGGATCCTTCTTTTCTTTCTTTTTAGGTTTTAATCTATCCTTTTCTTTACTAGGAAGAAAAAAGTAAATTATATCCAAGGGAGAATAAAAACCACAGCAGTTAAAATCTCAAAAATCTAAAGTTCCATTTTTTTTGGTCTACAGAAGAAATCCTACTTTGTGACTTCTTCATGTTAATATCAGCATACTCTTTCTGAGCAAATAACCAGTGCAAAGTACAGTACCTGGAAGTATCAGAATTAATCAGTAATGCCAATAACGCATAAGAATTGTTAATGAGTAAATAAAAGCTGATTATATTATATTTCTTTCTTACAATCTCTCGTATCAAGGATCAAAATCCACTTCCAAGCAATGGGTAAAAGGGTGACAGTTATCTTCTGAAGATCCAGATGCTTTAACAGTAGGGGGAAAGTATTATCCCATATGCTTCTTATAAAGGGCCAAAATGTAAACACACATATACAGAACTTAACCCCTAACTAGAAATTATTATTAATGGAGTGTCACTCCTAAAAATTACACAATACATCCACACTAAAGGCTGAGAAGAATAATTCTGAAGGTTTTAACGACCACTCTCTTATTCTGAGACTTTTTTTTGTATTTTTAGTGGAGATGGGGTTTCACCATGTTGGCCAGGCTGCTTTCGAAGTCCTCACCTCAGGTAATCCATTCGCCTCAGCCGCGCAAAGTGCTGGGTTTACAGGCGTGAGCCACTGCGCCTGGCTTTCTGAGACTCTTAAACTCATTGAAGATCAGTCTTTATTTAATAGCTATGCTTATTCTACACTTAAGCAGGGACACTGCTTTGATCCTCTTCATACTAGGGAATATCGCTTCACTTTCTTCTTCCACAGTGATTTGGATTCTTATATTAGTAAGACTTATAAAATGGAGATATCTTGGAGTTTTCCCATTTTCTCTGACAAAAAATATTTGAGTACCAGGCACTGGAGACACAAGACAAACACGGTCTCTAACCTTGCCATCTTTCAACAAGAAACACTCCCCCCGCCCCACCCCAGGGGAATGTAGTAGTGTAATGGTAAAAACATAAAGAGAATTATACGGACTTCACCGAACTGACATGAGGTTTAAATGCGATATAGCAGACAAAGCATATAACGGTAGAAAAAGGGAACACTTAAATGTTTAATTCCCATAGCCTTTCCCAGTGTGAGCGCTCAGCAGCTAAATTACTGTTAAACACTGGTTATCTCATGCTATATAAATCGAAGATACAATATTATAAGTAAAAAACAAAATAGTAACAAAAATTTTTACTACTTATCCTCTCTAGACTCTTATTATCCTTGGGCAGTTAATTCCAGATACTCACAGCCTCTGATCTCTGAGACTAAGCATTCGCTTCATGGTCGCATACTTCCTTGTTTTCTTTTGCTTCCCCTTGAAACAGAAATTTTAGAATTAAAAGAGTTGGAAACATATGGCATCTTTTAAAGTCTCTTCTTTTCTCTTGTCCATTGCCTTCCCTTCTTGCCTCAAATACCCAGACCCTCTTCCCCACTCTGTAAAGCATAACAGGCACCGCTCGGAGAAGTTTAAGAGCTAAGACCAGAATGAAAATATGCAAGGACAATGTGTCAGAAATTTGGCCACGGTCTGACTCCCTCCTTCTCCACCCGAAAAGTGGCCTGATAACATCCCTTCTTGGACCCTCTTCTCACCATGGTCACGCCACGCTCCTGGTTCTTCCGTAATCACCAACGGCGCAATACTTCTACGTCATTCACATACTGCTTCCGGCAAAGGATAGCCCGGAAGCGGAAGCTCCTTGGGGAAACGGCAAACCCCCGAGCCGGTTCCCAGGCCGGGTAGAGACCAACTCTGGGGTCTCTTGGTGGGAGGGTGGAGAGCCCGTCTTCTGCTGAGTGCTGCTGCCCCCTCCCAGGAGACCAGAGCTGGAACTTCGTCGCGCTGCAACCCCCGGCTCGGGTAACGTTTCTCTGCAGCCCTAGGCAGAGCCCAGAAGACCTGCCTTCACCAGAGTTCCAGAGAGAGGGAGGGAGGACAAGGGTAGGGGGGTCAGACTCCAGGTTTGCCCAGTAGTTTGGGGGAACACATTCTCCTCACCCTGCGGCGTTGGGGCATCCGGTGTCTACGGTCCAACCCTGAGGCTGTGGTACCTACTTGGTTTTCCTAGCCGATATGGTGCTTTGTGCAGCTAGGTGGATGATACTCCTCAAGTACATACCGTGTACTCGTCTCAGTGAAAAGAGAAATGAAGCAGTGTTTGAGGGCTTAGACTTAACGCTAGAGAATTGGGGCATTAGCTTGCATGTTACTGCTTACCCAAGCCAGGAAAATGGTGAGAAACAATGGACATTTATTGTGAAGCCTTGGTGTGTCATCCTTAAATAAAAAGGGAGAATTTGTGAGAACAAGGAGGAAAAAGTAGCTTTTTTCTTTGAGTACCTGCTATGTATTCCAGTGGTTCTTAACCTTTTGGAGATAACTTATTTCTTGAAAGTTTGTGGAAAGCCAGGAACAAGTCTTTAAAAAAATGGGCACACATACAGTTTGTAATACACTTTTTATGAGATTCGTGGACTCTGAAGCCCATCTGTGGACCCTTTGGATGTCTGTAAACTTTAGATTAAAACCGTCATCCTGTATACCGTACTTGGCACTTTATTCATATTGCCTTCTTTGACCATCTCAATAACATAAATACTCTCGTTTTTCATATGGGGAAACTGAGCCACAGACTTTATTCAGGGGTCTGAGTCTCTTGATTCCATAGTCTGTACCTTTATTTATTTATTTATTTTTTACACTTTGTCTTCCATTCTCCGGCTACTGAGCAAGCTGGGAATGGAATGGGTCCCTCTGTCATACTTTTCTTATTGCATGATGCTGTCCTAGAATTGGAAGTGAAAAATGTTATCAGGTTTTTTTCAAAAAAAGTGACTGTTGTATAACCCTTATGATGAAACACGGTTTATTGTTTAACACGAACTTTGGAGTCTGACTGATGGGGTTAAAATCCTTGCTCTGCCTCATAACTTGCCATGACATTGGGTTAGTTAATCTATCTGCGTCTCAGTTTCTTTATCTGTAAAATGGAGATAATCATAATAGCACTCTTTTACTGGGATGTTTTCAGGACTTATATTTATTCATAGTAAACATGCGAGGTCCCTAGAAGAGTGTAAACCAGACTACCCAGAGTGTTTTCTGTTGTTACCATTGTGTGTCTTCCAACTTGAGGATATGTGGCAGGGTTGGAACTTTATGCCTATGTTATGTTATGTTATGTTATGTTATGTTATTTTTGAGATGGAGTCTCCCTCTGCTGCCCAGGTTGGAGTGCGGTGGCGCTATCTCGGCTCACAGCAACCTCCACCTCCCAGGTTCAAGCAATTCTCCTGCCTCAGCCTCCCGAATAGCCAGGACTGCAGGCGTGTGTGTGCCACCACACCTTGCTAATTTTTGTATTTTTAGTAGAGATGGGGTTTCACCATGTTGGCCAGGCTGGTTTCAAACTCCTGACCTCAGGTGACCCACCCACCTGGGCCTCCCAAAGTGCTGGGATTACAGACGTGAGCCACCGTGCCCAGCCCCATTTTTTTTTTTTTTTTTTTTTTTGAGACGGAGTTTCGCTCTTGTTGCCCAGGCTAGAGTGCAATGGCGTGATCTCGGCTCACCACAACCTCCATCTTCCGGGTTTAAGCGATTCTCCTGCCTCAGCCTCCCGAGTAGCTGGGATTACAAATGTGTGCCAACACACCCGGCTTATTTTGTATTTTTAGTAGAGACGCGGTTTCTCCATGTTGGTCAGGCTGGTCTCAAACTCCCGACCTCAGGTGATCCGCCCACCTTGGACTCCCAAAGTGCTGGGATTACAGGCTTGAGCCACCGCACCCGGCACCAGCCCCATTTTATTTTAACATAGTTGCACTGGAACTTGAATGTGTTCATAAACCTCAAAAACCTTATTAAGTTTTCAGGTCCTGGGACGCTCAATCGCATGGTGATTTCTTCTCTTGATTTGGGCGTAAACTGTTTTTCTGCTTCTCCTTTCTCTTTCAGACACACATTCATTTAGATAGCTTGATAGTTTACATATCTGTGGGCTCGGAATTTTTGATGTAGAAATAGTAGCTACAGATACTGTATGTGCCTTCTGCTTTACCCCATTTGTGGTTACTAGAAGTTCCTAATCTTTCTGGAGCAGGTTGTCTCTGTCAAGCTGTCATTCATGTGTAGAGCTAATAGCAACCAGTTTTTTTATGTATCTCTTGGTGATTAGACAATAAGCATTTTATTGTCTAAAAGCTAAAATAACATGGTCAGTTATTCTTCTTAAACATTTGACTGATTAGTATTATATATAGGTTCTGAGGGAAAATTACATATCATTAAATAGTAATTTGCATTTAAATTCAGGCACTGACAGAAAAACAGTCTTCTGGTAATGTGTACTTTGAATTTTGGAATCCATGAACAATAACAACTTAAAAAAAGGCCATTTGTAATTTCTATTGTAACCTCTATTGAGAGTGTTCTGATTTCCTTGATTGTTAATACCTAACAGGGAGCTAAATTAGTGTAGGAACACCATGGGGGATAAGAACATGCTTAGAAAAATTTGTTTTTGTTGCGTTGTAATTTTATTGCAATCTGAGGTTCTTATAGCTTATTGAAATGAAAATGGTCAGATACTCTACAGCATTCTTTGATGGGGATGGAAAGTGGGGGATGGGAAGCCAGGAGGTGGTGTTGATTTGTGATGGATGGGAGCAGAAAGTAATTGCTTTTGGGCACATACTTGTGAGGAAAAAAAATGATTTTAGTCCTTCTCAGCAGTCAAGAGGGTTGTTTTGCATTTTTCTGCAGTCTTGAAGAGAAAAAATTGCCCAAGGCATTGGACACACAGTTTGAACACATAATTGGGCTTGGACTTCATTCCATTCACTAATTGGTCTAACTTACTAATTTAAGTTGGTATCAGATTTCTTTATAAAATTATTCTGGATAATGAAAGACTCCTTAAAGAATATCTTGTATTTCAATGTTAGAAAGTTATAAGTAGATTCACTTTTTTGTCCATTTTCAAGCTATAGTTTTATATTTATTTTTCTGACCTACATGATAGGACTTTTTTTCTCCCAACAAACATTAGTCACTGTTAATTATTTTTCAATTAACTTGCCGGCCCCTAAATATGGTAGCATGGCATACAGCATGTTCTGCTTCTGAGGTCTTGATATTGAATTGGTTTTGTAAGAATACCTCAGAGATAGATTACTGCCGCTTGCTCATTCATTCAGAAAGCATTTATTGAGGGCCCATTCTGTCCTGGGCAATCTCACCACAGTCCTGTGTTAGAGAGAGACTTGTAAACAGATAAAGTATGGTTGGTGGCTGAACAGAGATGTGGGAGTTGAAATATTTTAGAGGAATTACTCTACCTGTTCATCTTTCTGGAAGTGGTCCAGGTCAGAGTACTGTTGTGTAATGTTTATTTACTACTATCAACATATTAGTACCATGTAATAGATCAGATTTTATTACCTTAATGGACTCTAGTGTATCATTTTACCTTTTATTTATTATTTATTAGGTCTTGCTGTGTTGCCCAGGCTGATCTTGAACTCCTGGCCTCAAGCCATCCTCCCACCTCAGCTTCCTGAGTAGCTGGGACAAGAGGCATGAGCCACTGTGCCTTACTGTTTTACCTTTTAAATGACTTTAGCTATTAACTAACTTGGGTTTAAATTTCAGTTATTTTTATTTGGTTTCTTTTTCTTTGAAGTAGTGGATGGTAGTAGAGGCAGAGTTAGCTTTTAAGTAATTATTTACTTGTCTGTCTTCTTTACTAAGCTTTTGTATATCTAAGGGGTTGAGGATATTTTACTCATTCTGGAATCCTTGGAGTCCAACATATTGCTTGGCATGTAGTCGCTTCTGAAGGGTTCTGAATGCTTAGCCTTCACTAGTGTTCTTTCATATAGTAGTTTTCAAACTTTGGAGGTTGTTTAACCTTGTTGCAGTTTGTGTATGTGTATGTGTGTGTACACACATGCATGCCGGAGCCACTGATATGGTGTTACAGCACCATAATGATGTTTTCCTGATGGCTGTTTTGAAAACTGTTCTACAAGATAGGGTTTATAAAGATGGGTATTCACTTAGCTTTTAGAAACTAAATAGTCATGGTAGATACATGTTTTGTCATTTAGTCTCATTGAACGGTTCCATATGATTTTATGAGTTTTTGTTACCTTACCTTGGACAGTTGAGCAATTTGCATCATGTTTTTCAGAGCAAAGGCATTTATTTCGGTGCAGCTTGTTACTGTTGAGATGCTAATAGTTAACATCTGTTAATTGATGTTCTGTATATTGTACTTTTTGGCCAGAGATTAGATAATCTATTAATATACAACATATTTTCTGTAATGTCCCCTTGCTTTTATCCAGAGACACAGAGCATGTTATTTTAACCCCTCTCTTGTCCAGTTTGGGAAGTTCAAATTCAAGGTACTCCCGGTATATATGGTAAACATATTAGGAACAGAAAACAGTTAAAACTTCCCAAGTGTGATCTAGTTTTTCATGTCTTGGTAAAGAAGAAATCCCAGGTGGGCTGTGCAAACAGTTCATAGAAAGGGGTTAAAAAAGATACTTAAAAAGTTTTAGGCCAGCATTACCTGAATTGGGGCAATGATTAGGGAGACATGATTAGAATCCTAAGGGGGAGTGAGAATGTAAAGGGGAGC